TTCTGGTGCCATATTTATTGTTGTTGCTTGTGCCACCTGATCGACAGTAACATCAGATCAAGGTCCACGAAATTCATTGCGGCCAAGGGCTAGAATTTTACACCTGTCGTTAGCCTAAGCTTTGAGCCCCTCAAGAGGGTGACAGTGCGATTTCGCTCACGCAACATGATAGATAGCGACACCGTTCGGACCCACAGATTTAATGAGCACGTTCTCTGATTTGTACTCGGCGTGCATTTGGTGGCATCGGGCATCGAACCCAGGCCTTCCGGTCTGGGGTCCGATGCTCTAACCACTAGGCTACCCACGGCCCCCCCATATTTATTAAATGATACAAGCAAATTATACTTATTAAGTACTTATTTCTTTTCTTTAAATAGATAACTCTTTTTTCCCCCTGTACCATTGTAGAATTATCTGCCATGAAGGAAATTAAATGTTCCAAAAGGTATTCAACCTTTTTTAAACTCCTCCACTTGAAACCACAATAAAGTCTGGAATCGCATAATGGTGACTTTGAATCAGACATTTCGCAGGATTAAAGTAAGTAGCCACAATAGGATATAATTTATAGTTTATATCAGTACTGTCATTTAATTGAATTCTTTCTGACTAGAAGCTAGTTCACTAATTATAGCAGACATTTTAGTACTTGCACATCCATATTGCTTAATAATGTCAGACTTCAGAAAAATTTTCAAAAAAAAAAAGACTGGCATGATCAACTGCAATCAAATAGAATATGTTTTACATAAAAAAAAAGTACACAATATTTCAGCTCTGATTACATTTTACTAGATATCATCTTTGGGTGGATCATCCAATTTTGAATGAATGTGACTTGATTTATCCTTTGTGATGAGTTTTCACATGAAGGGCAATATCATAATGACCAACATGACAAATGCATGTCAGTACAAAATATGTCACACAATGAATATTTTTTCTCCTTTTGGGATATGCTAATACAATTGAATTTATTATAACATTCTCCATACAATTGAAAGTATATTATTTTGCCTTTGTTAAACATTGTTGAAGCAATGAATGGCTGAGTGGTAGCGTAGCGTACTTCCACACCACAGGTCCGGGATTCAAATCCTGGGCTGGGCAAGGTCGACTCAGCCTTTCAACCCTTTAGTGGGTCAATAAATGAGTATCAAGCTTGCTTCGGAACTAAACATTGGGGTTTCGCATCAGATTGATCACCTGATCTGAACATCTGCTCAGCACCCAAGGTCATGAAAACTGTGATCGACACAGTAGGCCTTGGCCCTTATGGGCTGTTGTGCCATTCAGTTTAGTTTAGCAATTCATGAAAACAAATTATTCAGCAAATATGAAGTGCAGGAAATACAAAAACATGAAAACCACAAAATGAAATGAAATTCAGTAAGTTGTCAACAAAAAGAAAAAAAGCTGTAATGGAGAATATAGTCAGTGGATGACTGAAATTTAGCCACACAAAATGAATTATCTAGGAATAAAAGCATAAAAAACAGCCGAAAAGTGTAAAAGTTGGCAGGTATGTAAAAGAAAAGAATTTAATTACAATGACTGCAGTAAAAAACTTTAACAAATAACAATTTGAAGAAAGAAGTATTAAAAAAAAGTAAGGAGTGATTGTGGAACCTGAAAAATTATTAAAGTATTTATCATAATTAAAACATTAAAAATTTGCTATTAGTCAAGAAAAAAACCTTGCAGACAGATTTGTTATTATGGCAGAGCAAATTCGTAATGTATAAAGTAAAAGTCTGAACTTCCAATTTCTTACTTTGGAAGTAACTTTTATGTCTTTGCCATTATTATTACATTTCATAATGGCTGAAATAAGCAAAATCTTTACAAAGGAACAAAAATAAAATAAAAAATAAATAAAACCTTTGGAAAGCAAAATTAACTTAAAAAGTGTTTCTTTGAGAGTAATCTTTTTATTAGAACATGAATATTGCAACAATATCTAATATGAAAAGGTTGTATTTAAAAAAAAAAAAAACCAAATTAATTGCTTTAAATGAATATGGCGCCCATCCGGTACAATGGTTAGTGATGTTGACTGTGGAGCTGCAGGGCCTAGGTTCGAATCCTGGAGATGGTATAGATGTTTGTGTTGTAATCCTTCCTTCTTTCCTTTGTGTTGTAAGCCCCCATGTGATACATTGTGTGGTGCACAGGGTTTATAAATGTTCTTAATAAAAAAAAAATTTTTTTAAAGAATACGGATACCACAATAAAAATAAATCAATAACAAAATAATGGTCATACACATAGCAATCAAAATACCAAAGGACAAAAATCAAAGTAATTATATTATAATGTTATCACCCATGTTGGCAAAAATTTTTAAAAATTTGGGAGGGAGAGATACTATGCTAATATTAAATTAGTACCAAAAATTAAAAATTCAATATAATTTAATAAAGATAAATACAATACATGCCTTAAATTGTTGATCTCTATAAGAATTTTGTTCAAAGCCTCTCCTTGATCCCATGCTGCTCTGTCAAAACTACAACACACACACACAAATTTTTTTTAGTTTATCGAAGAAAAATTTTATTGTGCACACATTACATATTAACTGCACACGATAAGTGAATAAATCCTTAAATTTATAAAATAGTGACTCATATGCAACATAAATAATTTGAGCATTTTTGCATAATAAAGCAGAATATCCAACATAAAATTATTTACAGATATTTGTATAGGTTTATATTACAAAAAAAAGAAGAAGAAAGAAAACATATTTGCATATAATTTTGTTGATTAACTTTGCCAAATGTTGTTACAATTGTTTCGGAACTATTTCCTACTTTTGGCTGCATAATGAAGCATTTGGCAGCATTCTTTGATTTGAACAAACTGGTCAACAGCATAATATAAGCCATAAGTACCAAAAAAAGCAATGTATAAAATTTAGAAATTTAAGAGTGAACATGTTTATTTATTTTCAAACTTTCGTACGTTAACAATTTTAATAATTTAGAAGTTTGATTTACTAATAATATTTTAAAACATTTAAATTCATTTTTTAAATTTCATATAAAATATTTTAATGGCCATGTACCAATTTTTTGCTTAAGATTTCTGAAGTCACTCAATTGAAATTTTATGCATAAAGTTTGCAAAAATTAAATAGTTTATCCTACAACTAAAATATACATAAATTATTATGTTGTAGTATTACATTAATTTAAAAATACACCTTATTTAATGATTCTAGTAATTATCTAGTAATATGCAGGTACCATATTTTCAAATAGCACAAATACTTCTTTCTTTTCAAATAAACTACATCAAAGCAAAACAAATTTTCTTTTCAATTTACTCAAAGAAATTTAAACATAAATATGTGTACTAAACATGTTCCCTTTCATAAAAATATAATCTTTAAAGTTATCAAAACTAATTTTTATGTGTAAAACACATATAAAAGCATTAAACTGAAAAAAATTGTATGAAAATTTTGAGATAATTAAGTATTAATATCATAAAATATTTTCAGGAAACATTAGATTATCCGGCTTAACAGATTGTTAGTAACCACAGTAAGTTACAATAAACATTTAAATTTAAAAAAAAAAAAATGAAGTGTTTATCGGGAATTGATAAATACATCAAATAAAGAATACGAATTTATTATAAAATCTACCTTGAAAATACTTCAATTTGAAAAATTTAATTAAAAAATATTTTAATGCTCGCCCCAAGCGCTTATATCTAACTATAACAGTACTTCAAATAATATTTAACTAATAAAGTGCATTGCAAAATTAAATAATATCAGCAAAACATAACATCACAAATCATTTCATTCATTTAAGAATGCTAAACACAGCACGGCTTAGTTGAGTTCAATTCAGTTCAAATGCACTTCGGAGCTTTGCTGGTTTTGTTAACATTTGCGCAAGCTGCTAAATTTCGCCTTTGAACAAATTAAAGTTGTCTTTGATTGGACGATAGAAAAAAAACCCCTCTTGGCTCATTGATAAATATAATTTATTCATCATCGTTAGAATATATAAACATAAAATTTCAAAAGTGGACGCGAAATCGTATTTTATGAACCTTCACTTTTTGTTTTCTTTCTTCGCTTATTTGATTACAAAAAAATGAGAAGCTTAAAAACTAATTTCTAAGAAATAAATATTGGCAATAGTAGGAAATGCCATAACTACGGTTACAGGAATAACGCGGATATATAACTCTTAGTTCACGCGGCAAAGTGTATTCTGAAGTTTCTTGAATAAACTTCTGTTTGATATATTTGTTAGTTTTCCAGATATTTTCAATCCTCTTCAGTTAAAAATATGTCTGGAAGGCAAGGTATATAAATATTTTACAAAAATGATTTAAAAATTCTGTTGTATATGTTTTATAGAAAAAAATTATCGAGTAAAATTTCTGTAAATTGCTGGATTTTGTTCCTATATAAAAACATTTTTCGCTTTCTGCTGTTTTGTGCGCAATAATGTTCGTTTTTGTTGATTCATTCATTCATTGCCATATCGGAGTATAACTTGTTTAATACCGTTAATTGGTTACTCATGAAATATCCTATCTATGGAATTCGTACTGAGTGAAACTTTTTTTTTCAGTAGGAAAATAAGTAATTTATTCCTATCAAATTTTTTTGAGTCTACAATTCTAGTATGAGAACCTTAAACTGATGGGAAAATAATAAAAATTAAAGTACTGGGAACATTCTTATTAACTATTATTTACAATCTGAGAAAAACATTTTTCCAATTCCTACTATTAGTTCACTCTCTCCCTATATATATATGTTTATATCTTGTTCAAATTTTCAACTGTTAATGAAATACTTTCTATTTATGCAATCAAGTTCAAATACATTTTTTTTAAACTTGTAGTGGTGGCACTTGATGTTAATACAATTTTTTTCAAATATTCATTCATTGATTAAATTAAAAATGAATAAGTAGTAATAAACAAAAATTATAGTCTGACAGCCTATATTAGAAAGGAAAATTGCTCGTTGTGTCGCTGTAACGTGTTGGACTTCTAATCCAAAAATTGTGGGTTCGAATCCCACCTGAAATGGCCTAATTTCTGAGAATGTGATTTTTTTTAAACTGTACCATTTATAAGAATAATTAAAGAATAAATTTTAAAGAAAGAAAAATAGTCGAACACAATGTATAGTATGGAAAATTGCTTTATATTTTGCCTCTTAATATTATTATTCTGTCGTATGTATATATATATTTATATTAATTGAAACTATTTAATAAAAAGTAACTAAAGTAAATTTTTCTTTTCTAACCTAAGTAGAAATTGACTTAAATTTTTTTTCTTGTATTACTTGTGTTTTTGATTCAATTTACTATCTAATTCGATGACTTGCTTTGATATTTTATAAAAAATGTTAATATATGTTCAATTTTTGTTGGAACTTAATTCTAATTTGTGTTAATGAGTTTTAATACAGATAGTTTTTCCAAATTTTTTTTGGAAAAAATATTTTTTATTATTTTGTATATTTCTGCAGATGAGACGACAATTTAATCATAAAAAAACCCTCCAAAATCCGGGGTCATCTTTGTATGATATGAAAAAAAGTTCAATAGATATTAATAAATATGATGAACGAATAAAAAAATTAAACAAGAACAACTTAAATCTTTTCTAATCTGTATTGAATTTATTTGAAAATGCTAGAGGTTTGTATTTTGCTACAGTGGAAAAACTTTACTGGGAACTTACATATTGCAACAATCGCCAACTCTTTTAATAACTTGCCAAGTTGGTAACCCAGATTTCCGATGTGTCATATGCCCTGAATTGGCAACCAGGTGCATCATTTCATCTGTCACCGATAGGCTGCAATAATATGTAAGTTCCCTTTATTGTATGATGCAATAAATGTTTGAACTATATCAAAAAATGCCTTGTGCTTATGTTGCTGAATGAAGAATCTTTTATTTAGGTATTTTTCCATAAGCCAGGCGTAAGCGAAATATCGCCAACTTAAGTAGAATTCCTATAAATTTCTTACAACCATAAGAGGAATGTTCCTTTGGGGCCTTGTGCTCTATTCTCTGAATTCATTCAAAACAAAGCATGTTTTCCTTTTTGATGTGTAACATCTTTCCTCTCGATTGCTGGAGATTTGTGGGAGGTAATTTTGTGAAAAGGGGGATGGAAATGCGTAACTGGAAGTTGGGGAAGCGCGCGCTGTTCAGTGAAGTCCTGTTTTTCCTCCCTCATTTAGGAAGGGCTCTGCCCCCACCCCCTGTGGTCTAGGCCATGGGATTTTTGTTTTCTCACTTTAGGATCAGAGAAGAAGCTAAGTCCTTTAGACAATGACGAACGTGTTTCTATACCTGACTTCGATTGCTGCGTACAATTTAAACGACCGGGCCATGGAGCAGCTGGTGTTGCGATCTATCGTAAACAGAACAACTCGCATGTTGTGGCTTGACATATGGATATTACTTATCGTCAAACAAGTGGACTGGGTATTGTTAGTCAAGATATTGGGGTTTGTACGACATCACCCTCTGTCGTACAAACAAAACTACCAAACCATTTTATAATTTGATTTTTTTTTCTTTTGATAAAATCTTTCTTAGTTTTATTTCAGACATTAATTTATCAAATGTAGAAGAAGTCTTAGTAGCAGTAAAAAGAAGTTTTGATAGAATTCCAGACTGAAATCAGTATTTGTTTATAATTTAAACTCAATTTTACCCATAAAATAGACTACTCCAGTTCAATTCGCTATTCCACTGGTATTTGTTACCTGTTAGAATTACAGATAGACAAGAAGAAAAAAAACCTTTCAATTCATACCCATGCATCATCGATAGCAAAATTAATGTATTTGATTGCTTGACTGATATAATTTCCTGTTAAATTTTTAATTCATTGTCCTTAAATAATTGAATTTTGTGGAGGGGCAATGAGCGGGCCACTAAAAAAAAACCTCATTGGGCCGCAGGTTGAGTATCGCTGTTCGATAATGTTTATAATTGTGTAAAATGAAATTTTTGTAAGTTTCTTCATAAAATTTAAGTTGCAAATGGAGTAAAAAAATTTTTATTCAAAATGTTTCTTTGAGTTTGCATAAGTTAGATTCTCTTGCATACTTTGGCTGCTGTGCTGCTAATGATTAGAATATTCTAATTTTTCTTTAAATTTATCTTGCAGGAGGTAAAAAGAAACCATTAAAGGCTCCCAAGAAAGAAAAATCTGAACTTGAGGTATTTCCTTTAACTTGCCTATTATTTATTACTTTTGATATTAATAGTTTAAGGTGACAGTGCCTTATGTGCAATTTTTTTATTTTGATATCTATAAAAAGTGTACACATTTTACATTCTTGCCAACTTCTACATTTTTAAGCCTAAATAGTTTGTTCTTGCACATTTTCGCTAAATTTCTGTTAACTATTTTGTCTCTATTGATTATTTATCATTATATATTCAAAACAATTGATAAAAACCATAAAACTCATGCCATTAAGATTTTTTTAAATTTGTCTTCCACTATAGTAACTTTTTGGAACTCCATTTTATACTTTGTACATGCTTTTTCTTTATGCTAGATGCAGTAAAGTGCTTTGTTTTCATTGATTATTGTACTTATCACACATCTAACAAATGCAAAATATACTTTTGAACATATAGATCCAAGATACTTCATTTCGCCACTGCAAGATAAATTTGCCAAAATGATACATGTAGCCATTCTTATATAAGCCATAACAGCCTCCAGACACAGGTGATCACTTTTGTCTAGTGGTCATGTTATTTGGCTTCAGATCCGTTGATTGCGGGTTCTATCCCTGACATTGGTGACCCTGGCTGAAAAGAAAAAACGCAAAACCTTCTGATTGTTCGTGACGCCATCTACCCGCAACAAGAGCAATTGAAGTCGTCAGATCCACTTGATGCAGCAGTGACAACTCGCACTACACATGCGCGCCATAACAAATATTTTGTTCATTTGTCTATCCACCTACTCACTGGTGGGGGAGTAGTGTAGGGGTTCCCATATAAGCCAGTAACAGCCTCCAGACAGAGGTGATCACTTTTGTCTGGTAGTCATGTTATTTGGCTTGGGATCCAAGATCGCGGGATCTATCCCCAACAATACAACTGACACATAGACGGAATATTCCCACTGGTAACTTGCATCTCAGTATGTTTTTAAAACAAGATGTGGACTTTTCTTAGAAGTAAAAACTTTTTCCTAAATATGTAGAAAAATCTATGAAAATTTGTGCTCTACATAGAACAGTTACTGTGTGTCTTCGCCAATAAAGTCTACTTGGCGAGATTTGCGCCTGTGAAATGGAAAAGTACCAAAAAATTTTATGAAAAGAAATCCAATAATATTGCCCGAGGTGGATCCTAGCAGGGCACATTTCTTGGCGATAAAGTTTACAATATGGTAACCTTGCAAAATTTAGGGAATAATAACCCTATTCAGACCAGATTTTTTGGATAGAGGTCATTTTTTTCTGATGGTCAACTTGAAGATGTCGTAAGATTTTTCTGGAAAGCTGAAATTGAAGGAATGAGTGGATTTTTTTTTTCATTTTTTTTTAAATGGAACAACTGCTGAGAGAATATTTGTTAGAGAGAAAGGAAGATGTGTTGATAAATTCAACTTAGACTATGTTTTTTCTCGCTATTGCATCTTAGAAGCAATGGGTTTTTCTGTTTTCTTCTTGAACCACATTTTCTTTTTTGAAGCTCAACGAATGGATATTTTTCCTTTTGAATAAAAGATGTAAGAAAGAAATGCTTGCTTTGTGAATGAGTGAACGATTGAATATATTTCGGTAGGGGAGTATGGATGGGGGGGTCCGAAATATGAAAATAATTTGTTTTTGAGAGAAATGGAGATCTTTATTTCATCAGCCTAAGGCATTCATATTGAACTTCTTTTCCCACTGTTTTAGAAGCGACACTTTTCAGTTTTCTTGTTGAAGCTGTTTTAGAAACCACATTTTCTTCGTAAAAACACGGATAGATTTTTTTTTAATAAAAGGTAAGACAATAATGATTGTTTTTTTTGTGTGTGAATGAAGAATTGATTGAATCTTGTAATGGATGCTCGAAATTTGCATTTAATTTCTTATTTTTTGCTTCCTATGTTGTCCGTTTTAGAAACCACGTTTTTTCGATGTTTTTCATCCCTTGATGCCATTTTGAAAACCACGTTTTTCCCTCTTGTTTACGTCTCTGGCGCCATTTTGGAAAACTCATTTTTTTTACTTGTCGCCAAATACGGCAGTGTGCTGTGCTAGGATTTTGCCCCATTATGTGAAATCTTAATCATGTTGCACACAAGAAAACAAGTAGCACTAGCTCAAATTAGATATTTATTTTTCAAGGATGATATTCAGTCAAATATAATAAGGGCTGAAATGCTGTTTCTTTTTTTTTTTTTAACATAATGTACCTTTGACTGCATCTGATCATGTTTGTTTTCTTTTTGGAAAATATTTCCCTAGTTTGATATTGCTAAGCAGTATGGATGCGGTAGGACAATTACCAAGCATTTGCTGTGATTTCTATTTTCTCTGTCATGCTCAGAAACCTTTTAGAACTTTGTTATTAAATTTAGATAATTGAAATTATTAAATATTTATCTTACAATTTAGTCAGTTGATGGTCTCAAAATTTTATAATCATGTATGTTTTATATTTTTTATATGTGCAATAGGATGATTCAGACTTTAAGCAAAAACAGAAAGAACAAGAAAAAGCATTGAAAGAAGCAAGAGAAAGAGCAGCTAAAGGTGGTCCTTTAGGTAAATAAAAAAAATTTAAGTTGACAGTTTTTGTCATTTAAACCAGTAGTTGGATTTTTTTTTCACATGGAAAACAATGCAACAATTTCATTGATATTAATGTAGATCCAAATGTCTTTTCATTAATAAAAGGCTAAAATGATTAAATGTATTGCATAATTCTCAAGCCATCCCATAACACCATGCAGTATTTCATTTCATATCTTCTATTAAATTTTGATTTGTTTGAATAGGAATTTAAAATAAATATATGCAATGAAAATTATTTTTGTTGCTA